TGGGGACAGCCAAGTGCTCCTTATTCTGGGCTTACAGATAAAAGCCCACAGAGCTGTTCTGATGTCATAGTTTCCTCTCCAACAAATCACCGTTAAGATCCACACTGTGCTTTGTCTCTCTATAAAATACTTTTCATGAAGAAAGCTAATGATAACATGTGTGATCAAAATATAAACCCTGCTTTGTTGTTTAAAAAAATACCTTCTACTGAGGTGTTTTGTTGATCCACCAAAAGCCTAGAACTATTGTACAGGTAAGAAAGCACTGGGAAAAATGTAGAGGCATCGACTGGAAACTCGGGATCCTGTACAGTGATTCTGAGCCTCACAATGATGCTTCCAGCTTGCAGAGATTCAATCTGCACTTTCAGCTTCCCAGATTTGTATAAGCCAGAAATGTTGGGCGGAAATGAATTTCCAATCTGAATAAAGTGAGAGAAGCATTGACAATTAGGAACTCAAGAGGAATAACTTATTTTAAAACTGAATCATGATAGTACCATTTTTAAAGATTTATATGCATGCCATATTAGTAGAAAAATGTGGTAAAAGGAGGAGTTTCAAAGTGTTTTAGAAATCTGATTTTTCAGAGATTATAGAAGCACACAGAAGTGAGAGTCTCATTGGTACACCTAGGTACACTTGAAAATGGGACCTATCTGACCACTTATCTTATCCCAAGCGGTACCCAGGCAGAGTTTGGCGTTTAGCACTGGCCAAGGGTCAGTCTCAATAGGCAATTTGAATGTGGCCACCATACTTGGTAAGGCCAAACAGTATGGATGCAGGCTGTTTTGTGCAACCGGGTCTTAGTGCCAGAAAATGGTTCTGGAAATGTTTGATTAACCAGTTTAGGCATAGCTTTAGGCACCAGTGATTATTTGAAACTCACCAGTCCAAGACTAGCCTGCACTGAGTACAGTGACTCAGTAATCTCAGAGTGAGCAGCAAGAAAAATGGGCGGGTAGCTTCCAGAAAATGTATTTGAGACAGCTCAGCTTAAAGGCAATATCACAATTACATCATGACTGATTAACATTCAGCTAAGTAGACATACTTATTGAATAAATGGTGTTACCCTGAGTATTAAAGCTGGCATACTCCCGTCACAATTTGAGCTGTGCTGAAGTTGGCAGGTTTCACCCTACATCTCTGGGAAGCATCTCTTTTGCTTGAGCCTTTTTTTCATATGTGCACCACAAAGCACACCTTTGAGCATGCAGTGCATAGTCATAAATCAACACAGCTGTGCTCCCATTCAACTGGAGTTTGCTCAAAACATTTCTACAAACAAGCTGCTTAACTGGTCTAAGTGCATATCTGGGTGGGTGGGGAGGCAAGAAAAAGAGAAAAGGAAAGAAATAAAAAGTAGATAGCATGCTTCGAAGCATGCAGTGAGGCAGAAGAGGCACAGATGTGCAGCCCTCCTTTTCCTTCCCAGCCTCTTGATGCCAATTAGGTGTGCATCAACCTTAGAGTAGATTTACTGACAAAACTCCTCCCGCGCAACAAACGTGGATAATTTGCAGCTATGGGAAATAAAACCATGCCAGAAGACTCAATTACCAATTTTTCATATGTAAATGTCTCCTCTGTGCTGTCTTTGAAAATATAGTTCCATTGTTGTTGGCGGGGTTTTTTTCCACCCAGATTTATATTCACATATGTTTATGAGTCCCCCTGTATTTTGGGAAAGTTAAGTTTTGGATCAAGATCTAAATTCCTCTGTCCGGGCTTTGTTCTGTACGACAAAACTGTAAGAGATTATGGTGTCTAGAATATCCTCCCTGTTTGGGAAGCTCAGACTTGGTAACAGAGTTCATGACTCAGTTATGCTTATGGCTGATTATACCTGAGCATCGATAGTGGCTGTACTTGGGTGCGTAATGAATGGAGCTAGAGAAGAAAGCCTAGTTGGGTCACTTTTGCTTAAAGAAGAAAGAGCTTTGAAAGCAGTCAGACATTTACTGAGAAGACAGCACTGAAATGAATGCCAGCAATGTCATTTCAAAGATCTATTAAAACGCCTCAAGTCAATTTAGTGCGAGTTTATTGCCAAAGTAAAGATCCAAGGAAAGAAGCCCCTATTGCATGTCTGATTTTCTTCTTCCTTTACTCTTCTGTAAGGAAAAATTCCCATTGGCTCCACTGCTAACAAGATCAAGGGCTTGATCTGTTTAGTCAGATGGATTTTGTTTTAATTGTAAAGATAGGTCACAGGAGATGGTATGATGATTTTCAAGGGACACTTCAGCTGTATACAAAATCCTCTAATTAATTAAATAAATTCTCAATTTAAAAATGTATATATTACCCATGGTACTTTAACATTACCTCTGTAAACAACAATCTTGAAAATTCTTGATATGCTGAACTGCTGGCATCATAGAAATCTTCAGTGAAGTTGTAGTTCAGGATCCTCATAGTGACACCAAATATCTTGGCCTCTGTAGAACACAATATTAAAATACATGCTGACCAAGCAGAAGAGGAAAGGATTCAGTCAAAACTGATGTACTCAGACCAAAATCTCAGAGGCACAGCCAAATGCTGGCAGCCAGCAGTAGTATGGTGTCAGCACACCTGTTCTTGGGCACAATCTAAGATAAAATGTTTAAATGCAATTGATATGCACCATCTGTTTTAGACTCAAATATACACAGAGTAGAAGACATGAATGTATTGCTAGTAAGAGAAAGATAGTGGGAGAAAAAGTATTTAAAAGAAGATCCCCCTTTTGTCTCCTCCTCTTTTTGAGGGGGGGGACAGGGGGCAGGGATATGACGGATAAGAGAATTTGATATTAAACCAAGAAACCGAAGCCAATTTTCTGCTATGAGTCTTCTATACACCGAGCCCTTACATTAGGTCCATAAAGATATTTAGGTGCCTAATTCCAACTGAGTGAGAGATGGGTATACCCATATCCTTGTGGACATGGCCCTACATAACTATTGCATTTGATTTACATCCAGGGTTGAATGCCTGTCAGTTCATCTTCAATCCTTCAGTCACAATTATTTTTCTTCCAGATCTTAGCAGTGTGAGTAGTAAGTATACTCCTAAACTCAAGAGGAAAAAAACTGTGCATACCACCTCCTCTGGTGAGCACGGACAGATCCTGCACAGAGCACATCAGTTGAAAGCTACAGTCAAGGAATCTATAACCAATTTAAGCTGTATAAACAATATGAGGCAGCTATTCTTTGGATTCATCTTTGAAAACCTCTTTTTCCAAGGGCTCCAATGCCACATTCTGCAGATTAACCACCTGCTTCCCTGAGCACTAGACCTCCTACTTTCCCCCCATGAAGAGAGGCAGTTCCTGGTGACCCAGATGGGAGTCATCTCTCATCTAATTAAAGGGAAGACTCTTACAGATGAACATAAATAGCAGCATTCCCATGCTGGCAGGTATTAAATAGCTCACTGCCTGCTTTTTAAAGATAATGAAGAGAGATTTCTTTCTGTGTGAAGGCTCAGGAAATAATTTAAAGATAAAGAAAAGGTAAAGTTATGTTTGATCAACAGATTAGGGTCTCAGGAAGCTAACATCATTGGCTACTTAAATGAAATTATGCAGCTTATTCAGCAAGCTTTCTTACACAGCTCTCGTTATTCACTTTAATGCTGGTCACTCATAAACTATTAATCCCAATCCGGCCTTCCTCTGGGCACTTTCATTAGCTCAGCAGAGCCTTGGCCAAACCAGTTGACTGGATTCCTCACTTGCCCCAGCTGTCAATCAGGAAAAAAAGGGCCTGATACAAGAAGGGTTAACAGTGGTAGCAGAAGGCAGTGCCAACCAAGAAAAAATGTATTCTAGCTTAACCTAATATCTGTAATTGTCTGAGTCAGCTCTAGCACTGCTTTATCAGCTAAGGCCAAAGCTCTGCTGCCTCGGAGTCCAGATTGTGGAAGTGCTGGGGTGGAGGGGAGAGAAAGTGTCAAGGGAGGTGGAAAATGGAGATGGGGGAGGCCCAAAGGGATCACTACTGAACTGCAAGCAAATGTAGAGACAGAGAATATTTTCAAGTGGCTATTTACCTGTTTTAACATTTTGATGGGAGATGATGTTTTTTCCACAGGTTTCATAGCTGATCTCTACTGAATACATCACACCTGTTTGCAATCCAGATACATCCATTTTCATTTCCTCTGTCTTCAGGTTTTGTATGATCTCCTTGTCCTTGAACACTTGGACTTGGAAAGTATGGTTCAGAGTGGAAGTGATGTGCCAAGACATTTCAAAACTGCTGCTGGTAACACTGAAGATTCGGTGGTTTCTAATTGAAGGGAGATCTACCACAGTCCCGGGGAGAGTTATCAAAGAAAAAGCATTATTTAATCCTTAAAACATTGTGCTCTTCTAAATCCATTGTAGACATGCACTTCTACAATCAATAGGGGAAGTTTCTCTTTCAGTGACATCACGACAGATTCATCCCTCTCACAGTAAGAGGTTCCCTCCTCCACAAACCACTGCAGTGATTAACTGAGCGTTCATTCTTTATTTTTCCTTTTACCATAAGTATTTGTATTGAATATCTAGTAATACTGATAATCAGACTGTGAGCTACGGGCTCAAGCAACAAAAGTAAGTTGAAAATAGTGAATTTGTGTAATCTACTATGTTCACACTTGTTTAGCCTTTTGTCACCTTAATCATCAAATGCATATCTTTAGGTGGAGATTCACTGCCTCGATTTAGGCCTGGAAAAATCCTACTGATTTCCATGTAAGTCAGAGCAGAAAACATACCCCATCTTTTGCAGGCTGGGGGGTGGGGGAGGAAGGGGAGATCATTTTACTTATTTATGCCACTTTAGCCCAGTGCAATCGTTGCCATGTTAATGGGAAAAGACAGGACTCTTCATAGAGGATTCCTCTCCTCAAAGGAGGAGGTGCCTATATTCAGTAAGATGAAATGCTTTTGAGTAGGGCCTGTCCACTAACTATAGAGAGAGCCCAGATAATGACCACAGATTAGACATCTCTCTTACAGACAGCTGGGATCAGGTGAGATGAACATCAGCCCCTATGCTAAACTAGAGCCCATGCCATCCTGCTGCCAAACTTCAATTCTTTTATACTAACAGTTAGCCTCAGAAAAAGGGTTGCTTTCTTAAATTATTTTAAGGGGACAGAATTTTTTCCAGCCATACTGCCTTGCTCCAGGGAGATTTCAGTTTAATTCCTTTAGCTTCAAATTGGATCAGAAGTTGTGGATAAGATGAAGATCAAGAACATCCAGCTTGTCTCAGTGAACTAGGCAAAGAACTCCTTAAAGAAATTTCCTCCCTAAAGAACATGATGTTGTTAAAAGGATTATGATAACTCTTGTCTGAAAGGACTGAAGTCACCAATATAAAGACAAATCTATCGCGATCTGTTCTTATCATGGTCCCTCAGACAGCTATGATACAAAGCAGGGAGAGTATTCATTCACAAAGGTTAACTCCAGGGTAGGGTGGCTGTGGCCAGCTCCCCTGGCTGAACAAGTGCCCCATCCACATCTTTGTGGACTGAAAGGCAAAAGATCTGCTTCCTAGTGGCGATGGCCAGGAGGATCTCTTGCAGCCAGTACTGGATCCTCCTTTACCTTGTTTCCGGACCAAGCAGGGATGAACACTCAGCTGGGTCCAGAGGCAAGCCTGTGGTATCCACCTTGTGCAGCCCTCGCTGGAATTCTTCCTCTTGTTGGAGGATTTGGATTATCCTAAACAAGCCCTACAGTGGGAGCTGCATTTGAACTGCTCACCGGGCACAAGTGGCTCAAGAAGCGCAACACAGGCACCCTGCTTCAAGGAGGCCAGCTTCCTTCAGTAACCGTTGGGAAAACAGGACCTTTTTTAGCAGTCAGTTCAGAGCACTACAGCTCCTGATCTGAATCTCCCACTGCGGGACTCTCTCTCTTTCCATTTCCATAGATGGAGATTCACTCCAAAAGTATCATCAGCTTTTGTGAACATCCTCCCATAGGTCAACCAGCCTCAGGAAAAAGGGATCAAAGAGGTGCCAAATTAAAAGCAAGACAATATTCATTCAAATCCAAGGTTACTTACAGCATCCAGCCTCAGCAGATTGGTTAGTCATGGACAAGAGAGTTGAATTACTTATAGACTGAGAGCTATTGCTAGTGTTAATGGGATCCAACGCTGCACTTGGAATAGATGCTACTATGCCTAAGGGAGAAACAGTAAAGCATTCCTAACAAAGCAAATTCAAAGTAATACCATTCACATTTTCAGCAGCTGAAAAACAGCAATAGAAGTAATATAAATACAAATGAAAATATATATATTGTCACGTAAGTATAATGATAATACATTATCTTAATATTTGAGACTAAGGGACTGTAAAATTGTTTTTGAACTAATACTCTGAAGCTACAAACACTTATTTATCTCATAATCTGTAAGCCTGATAGCAGGCCCATTGATGTCTGTGGACTGTAAGCACATGCCTACATACTTTGCTGAACTTTGCAGAGAATCATGTCACCCACTGCTAAACTCCAGCTGCCTCCAAAAGAGTACTCGGCAACAGTTCTGCAGTTCAAGGTGAAATTATACAGCCGCTGAGTACAGGCTGTAATCATGCAGTCCAAATGGGAAGGAGACTTTTTGTATACATAATGTCATTAATCATATTTCCCCAGGCTGCTGGAGAGGTGTACTGACTATGAATGACTTGCTCTAGGAAGAAGTCAAGGTCTGAAGCTAGAGAGACTTTGGCATGTGGGTAAGGACAGCTGAGGGAGCAAAGTGGGAGAAAGTCTGGGACTGTGAGAGAAAGATAGCATGTTTCAATCAGGAAAAGCTAGCAACTAACTCCTATGGCACCTTTTCCCAAAAGGAGAATATAGGCTGCCCTATGTTTCAGAAATCCTAACTTCTGGGGCAGCTCATGCGTTAAACCAATGTTCCACAGAAGCCATCTCAGTTATTTCCAAGGTGAAGCCTACGTTCCTCACCTTCCTTTATTGTCGTTATCTGATGAAGACTGCCATCAGCATGTACACGCTTAGGGTTGCAGCTGTAATAACCCTCCAGATTTACACAGGTGTCTCTCTTAGGACAAGCATTGAATTCGGCATAGGAACATTCATTGACATCTAAGAAGAAGAACACATCTTATACAGATCTTGATAGCAACATCGAGACTGGCCTGCAATGCATGTAGACCAAGCTCTGGATATGATGAATTCAGTGAAAATCTGCAGTAACTTTGTTGAAACAACTCCAGATTCATACCAGTGCAATGAAATCAGAAAGCCGCCCTTCCCTGAAACAAGCCCTGATTCAGTTTTAACTGTCATTTTTTGCTCAGATTCTTTGGAATAAAGTGGCAATAGTGGCAGCCCTCTTTTACAGTCCCAGAGTGTCATCCAAACCCAAGCAAAATGAGAGGCAGGGGAAAGTAGATCTACCTAGTGGTTTCAGTGAAAGTTGGACTGAGTTTTCAAAAATAAACAGAGAGTAAGAAGTGATGACAAACTGTGCTGTTGATGCATTTCAGGAGTGGAAATGTTCAAACAACTATGTAGCAGAAAATAGATTAAATCTATTTAAATCAACATATTTAAATATTTACCTAAAATTTAAATACAGAATAGTGATTAACAGACTATAAATACTCACTGTTTCATGCAAGCTTCCGGAAATAACACAACTCTATATGAATAGAGTATATCTGCTTCCAAAGAATACCTCAAACACCTTTGTTAAGAGCCACTTCTGCTTAAAATAACTAGTGATTGTGCCATATACTTGAACCCCCTTTGCTTTTCAATACAAAGATGGGCTATGCTATTAGGAGAAAATAAATTTAATGCAGGAAGCAGGAGTATTCCTCTCCAAATTATTCACGTCAAAATACTTACTAACTACATCCATCTATTCATCTCATAATGCACGGTTTAGGGCCATATTTGCAAAGTTTGCATGATTTGCCACACCAAATTTTTGAAAGCCAACAGATAGTCATACAGATAAAATCCCAAGTGAAGAGGGATAAAAAGGCTTCCTCCAAGGATAGGATTATAATAAATAGCAACCTTGCACATCTGTGTCAATCACTTCATACACACGCTTCACAATGTCCTTCAAGGAAGAAGACACATCCACTAGTGGAGCTGGTTGGTGCAATCCAGTGAGAACCTGAGAGGCCACTGTCCCAGCATATATTTCTGCATGGTTACTCTGGATATGATACACAGAGGCATTCAAGGGCTGCAACGCTCCAGTAATCTGGAAAACAGGTGAACAAACACTTCAGTATCTCATTTCTTTTTCAGTACAACCGTATGCCAACGAGGCATAACCTGTGCAATGATTACCATTATAAACTCAGTGCAGAAAGCACCGATTCAGAAACCCTAGAAAACTAGGTCTGTATTTATGCAGGGTGAGTTCTTCTTTTTATCACGTTTCACAAAAGAGTTACAATACAGTAATGCCAAACTGCAGAAGGCATGGAGCTGCAATGCCAGATCTCAAATGCTTTGGCAGGAGCATGTAACCCAAAAACATATGGAAATGTTCTCTTTGGCATGTAATGCTTAAACAGCAAAATCTCAATAGACAGCATATACTTTAGACAGGCCATTTGTGCACCTGTAACAAAGCTGTCCAACACTTCTTACTTTAAGCAACTGAAAAGAGTCCTTTAACATTGCCATAGTTTGGCCAGGAGAAGTAAAGTTTTCCAGGGTAGGAGTCAGCCTCAGGCTGATTTTTTTTCCCTCTGGTTGTTGAAGGCTTCAGATGAAATAATTCAACAGTTCCTAAGAATTAGGACCTATGAAAAGTCAATAAAGAGAATTCCAGAGACATTATGTGTAAGAAACTCTACCACCGCCTGCCTGTTTAGGAAGCACAACCTGCTATTGGCATGTGTGTAGAATGACTTGCATTAGGATTGTGGGTTTTCTTCTTCTTAGGAAAATGTGACCACATTTGTCCAAGTTCAAATTCACTGAAAAATTACATTTCTGTCCTTCCTCTCCAAGCATGCTTCAGACTCTTAGAGCTCTGAACCAGACAGAGTAAGTCAGCTTTTCCAGTGGCTCTTAGGATTTTCCTTATAATTTCAGTTTTGTGTTGTCCTGAGAGCAAGCAACAGAGCTGTGAACACAAAGCACTGCTTTTCCTCTTGCTGTTTTAACTTGTGTTCAGGGAATATAATGGAGAAAGTGCACTGATGGGGACACAAGGAATAAGAGATGGGCCAAAAAAGAAGAACAGGAGGGGACTGAGAATAGAATGTAGATGAAGGAATGACGGCTAGAGGGAGGGAGAAAATCCTAGTGCTGGCAAAAGGGATATTAAAAAAAAAAAAGGATTGAGGGAAGCAATAAACTGAGCAAGGAGACTGGGACTAAGAGCTATGGAGAGAGGCAGTGGGACTGATTAAGTCCTCATAGCCACAGGTCACAAATCAGGGGGGGGGCACTGAGACCGGCTGAGGATTGGAAGAAGAGTTGGTGGAGCAGACAGGGCCTAGAGGACATTCTCCTGAGAAACGGTTCCTTGCAAAGCCTCCTTTTCGTGTTTGATTTTTTTGTCATAGCTTCCTTGAGGCCAAGATAGGTAAGCCTTGGTAGATCATTACCCTCTACTTCTTACCACATCAGGACAGAACCACCGTCTCTGGGTTTTTTAGTATACAGTGAGGAAGAATTTAGGCAGGAGGAAGAACTAAATTCATTTAAATCCCCATGTTACTGCTATCATTTCTGTTCTCCTGCCCATCAGTGCTAGACTATGGTGGGAGAGTCCTTTGCTACTTGCTCACTCCCAGCTGGAAACTGGGGAGGAACAGAAATGAAAGTGAACGGTAATGGGGAACTTCCCTTTTGGGTACCTTTCAGGGATGACATCCAAGCCTGGTGTGCTCCATAAAATGGTGACATGTACTAGGAAAACGCTTCAAGTTTATGGTTTGGGGTCTTTGCCCTCGTTCATCAATCCAGTTCCTAAATACCACTCTATGGAGAGAAAAAGCCACTGGATCTGAACACCGCTTTAGTCTGTAGCCCGATTCTTCCTGTAGACAGACCATCCTTTAGAGATGCTTGCCTCGGCCTCTTCTTATCTGTTGTAGTTGGGATACTGAGATACATACTGTTCTGCCGTAATGTGACTATACACACACAGTTACTATGGTCACTGCTAATCCATGCACGAGGCAGAGCCTTGGTCCTACAGAAAAAGAAATACCATGTTGTCTCACAGAGCACCACTTGCGATATAGTAAGAATGAAAATGAAATGCCTCCAATTCAGAGACAGTCCTGTGCCATATTCCTAGATTTTGACAGGGGAACTTCTAGCCTTGCACAATCCACCTTGCATGTAGATCCCTGTTTCACAGACCAGATTTGTCTCTTGAAAAGTTCAACTCAAAAGTCCTTATTGGAATACATCACACTTTGCAGGTCTTGAAATCCCAGTCCAGTCTGACTGTCACAGACCTCGAACTGAACTGAGCTGAAGCAGGCATCATTTAAACGGGAGAAAAATCATATTTTAGAGCATGAAAACTTTAAATTCTCCTTGCAAGAGACCTGAAAAATTTAATAAAGAAGCTGTTAAATCAACGTTGCTTGAGGTTCTTGAGGATGAAGTTGACATTCAGCTATCAGGAATATATTAGGGCCAAAAATAATTATCTTGCGGAACAAAGAGGGAGCAACTAGATAGCGATGTTTTGCTCAGCACAGAGGATTATGAGATCCTTTCCAAATTGAAGCAATTAGTGGTTACTGAGTAACAGAAATGCTGATGCAATGAGCAACACACAAGAACATTTTAATTTGTACATACCATGGAGTGTAACAGGCGTGAATGATTCAAAAGGTGGGGATCCACTCTGATTAATTCCTTAAAATCCATTTTAACAAGCACTGTCACATTGTACCAGAATATTCTTTCTGAAAGGAATAAAATTAAGCAGCCAAATCATCTGAGGTCTGATGTCTCAGTCCAGAGCTATAGGAAGGCCCTGAGAAACTGAAGCCCAGTTTAAATTTGAAATTTTGAAGGGCCCACATAAAACTATTAGCTACCGCTACGTTTACCATATGCTGCAGACAGCAGCGCTAGCTAGAAGAGCTTGAGCAAGGTCCACCGAACCTGTAGCACCTGCTGTTCAGGGCTCACAGGTTCAAATACTGAAATTGAATATCCTGGAATTGATCCATAACAGATTTCTATATTTGTTTTATGAAGAGCTATGGTAACAGTTGTTCTGCCCACTCCCACCCTCAGAAGCAAAAATAAAGCATATTTTTGTATTAGAAGCAGTTCTGAATTTACCAATAGCATACCCTCTGGCACTGGATCCACACAGCCTCCTCCTTTGGATGAGCTGCAGCATTTTTTAAGCCCCGGACACTCAGTATCGAACGTGCAAGGATAATCAGATGTTACCATATTCTCCATTGGACAAATACCAGGTCTTGAGGCAAATACACTGGATCTATTGAGTGCTAAGTAACAAAAACATTTCTGAGACCAAAATATAGAACATTGTTTCCATAAAATTGTTCTTCTGAATTTATAACAAACACCTCCTCCTCATTCTCAAAGTGTGTCTGTTCTGAGGGTTTCACGAGGAGAAAAGAGCAACCATTATTTAATTTCCAAAGTGAAAACGTTACCAGAATTTTCTCTTGTTCATAACAGTTCTGTTACAGAAATTTTGAACTGATAATTTTCCAAAATTTGGTATATGTATGTGTATCTGTGTGTGTACATATATGTGTGTGTATATATATATAAACACGTATATATATTTCCTAAATATGGAGACACTGAAGCACTGCAAAATTCAGAAAATTAGAAAATGTACCTGATATCAGCTATGCCTAATTCAAATAAAATATAATGATCAAAGCAAACAAGTAATGTCTAAGCTAGAATTCAGGAGATCTTCTTTAACCTTTTGTTGCAAAAAAAGTTAACCTTTAGTTATAATAATCAAAGACGTTACACAAGAACTGAGATAAATGCTGTTCTCAGCTACAATTAAAGGGGTTGCACCTAGGGACAGGAGAGCAGAATTTAGCTCATGGTCTTTAACCCGACAGTATCCACTCACTCAGTATCAGCTATGCACCCCGTGAGCTCGCTAACCCATGGCAGACAACCCTGCAGAAAGGGTAGCTAAGGCAGGTGGTTTCTGCTTCCCAAGCCAACTGTAAACAGCAGTCGTGGCTCAATGCCAACACCTACTCTTCTCCGGGGAAAAGAAAAAATATAGTTAAGATTTACAAACATCACCTTCACCCACACTCTCAAATATAGCTCCAAGTAATGCTCAGCTCTATTCTTTCCAGTTGGGATAAAAATTTCGGTTCTCTTTTCCATTCATTTTGTGCCTACAGCTAGCTATTTGGTCTTATTAACTCTCAATCTACTTACTGGGCAATTAAAGTCAGCCAGGAGAAAAATGAAGATGATTCTTGCTACAGAAACAGGTTCTAATGGAGAAATACGCTTCTCATAATAAAGTCAATTGCAAATTAAAGGTCTATAAAACACTAGAGCAAACTACAAATCTATCATGAACTGCCAATTTCCATGGGTTTTCAATTTCTGTTGTCCCAAGCCTCTGAATAAAAGTAAAACTAGTGTTTCTGAGAAATGGAAGGGAATATTGAATTTTTGACTTTTTTCCGCAGCAAAGTAACCTTCTCAAACAGGCAAGTGATCTTGATCAGTCAAGATTTAAACTAAATTATGTAATGTGTTAGCATATGCACATTCCAGATCCTCTCCTCTGCTAATGCACAGTAGACTAGAGCCTACCGCAGACAGAGAGCCTTGGCTTTTTAGCACACTCTGTAACAGATCTCATTTTTAATACTGCAAATCCCCAGTTCAATTTACAACGTAGGGATCAGGCTCAAAATTAAGCACGCAAAACTCAGCATACAGAATTTGCAGCCATTTCTGCAAAAAGGCATGCAGTCATGTTCGCATAAAGAGATAGTCCATTGAAATCTGTGGTTTTGAGCCTATGTTTCTATATTCCTCGGGGTCCGTGGTCTACTTGTTAAGGATCTCTGAAAAGTAATTAAGAAAAGTAAGCTTAATTTAGTGATGGGGGTCCACAGCTCTGCTGGAAAATCTACTAAAACTCACAAGCTGCAGACGAGTGAAGGCCCTGAGATAAGACCTTTCAGCAGCAGGCATTTTATTTGCACATGCAATTTCAAAGATATGGGCCCAGAATACATGGGTCAGTGCACTTCCCACACTATTTTCTGTCATGTTTGGTATGCTCTGTGCATATCTTTTGGGTGTATACAGTCAACGATTGCACACTTCAACAACTCTGTGAGCATCATTCAAGTAGAGTTAGCATTAGACACATAAGAGCTTTTGATGGTGAATAAGGAGCCTGCCCCCCAGCCCTGATGAAAGGATGACTTCCTTACGTCTTGCAGGATTTGCCCCGCTACCTAATGTTCATTTTGCATCATAGATCCAGATGTGTAGTGATAGGCTAAAAATAAAAAATAAAATAAAACAAAAAATCAACCCTATACAATTCAGCTGAAGTTTCTTCTGGGTCTAGCGAGTCCTCACACCTATTCTGCTTTCCAGCACGGAGCTGCAGCCTCTGCTTTTGGCTCAGGCATCTTGGGAAGTGTCTTAGGGGCTGGCGCTGCGAACCATTCTCCCAAACGGATCCTACTGCTAGAAAATCTCCTCCCACTTTCTAGTTTAAAGCCCCAATACCTTGTGATATAGCCTTAGTCACCCCTGAATTTCTGGGGGCTGACCTGCTGGAAAGCAGTTCTGCAGAGAAGGCTCTGGGAGTCCTGGTGGACAAGTTAAGCATGAGCCAGTAATGTGCTCTTGTGGCCAAGAAGGTCAATGGGATCTTGGGGTGCACTAGGAAAAGTGTTGACAGCAGGTGGAGGGAGGTGATCCTGCCCCTCTACTCAGCCCTGGGGAGTCCGTATCTGGAGTACTGTGTCCAGTTCTGGGCTCCCCAGGACAGGAGAGACATGGCACTGCTGGAGAGAGGCCAGCGGAGGGCTACAAAGAGGATGAGGGGACTGGAGCATTTCTCCTCTGAAGAAAGGCTGCGAGAGCTGGGCCTGTTCAGCCTGCAGAAGAGAAGATTGAGAGGAGATCTGATCAATGCGTACAAGTATCTGAAGGGAGAGTGTCAAGAGGATGGGGCCAGACTCTTCTCACTGCTGCCCAGCGACAGGACGAGAGGCAACGGGCACCAACTGAAACACAAGAAGCTCTGTCTGAACATGAGGAAAAACTTATTTCGTGTGAGAGTGGCTGAGCCCTGGCACAGGTTGCCCAGAGAGGCAGTGGAGTCTCCTTCGCTGGAGATATTCAAAACCGGCCTGGACGCGATCCTGGGCAATGTGCTCTAGAGGACCCTGCTTGAGCGAGGGGGTTGGACTAGATGCTCTCCAGAGGACCCTTCCAACCTTGGCCATTCTGTGATTCTGTGAATGATTCTTCTACACATTCCCAGGCTCGAGCAGTTGTTTCATGTTAACCTCCCACAGAGGGAGGCAAGTTTAGAGGTGGGAGGCTCACCAGGGTGACAGGCTGTGTGAGCAGGGCACTGTGCTCAGACTGCAAGGCCAGTTGCCAGTTCTGCAACAGATCGTCATCATGTCCCTGGGTAAATCGCTTAACCAATTTGCTTCCACCTGATGCTGGGGAAAAGGCTGAGAAACGAACCCTCTGCCTACTGCCTCTGGCAAGCTCTCCAAGCCAGAGAGCATTTCTCACTGGGACCTTGCACAGAGACTGACACCAGGAGATTTCTCTGTGTTATTATATCACCAATATTCCTTACTATTCAAACTAAGTGAATTCTGGTGAGCCAAACTCGGGCATCCAGACCCCTCCAGCTCCAAGATTCAGCTCAAGCAGATATGGTGTCCAAAGCAGCTTTTTCCACACAGGTCATTTTTTTTTTAGCATGTTGAACTGTGACATAAAGAATTTAATGAGTCACGTGCAATCTCAGAAAACACTACTGAATCCTGGCCGAGTGCCACACTACCCATTTATCTAAAATTTAAAGGTCATCATTTTTACATCAGTGGAAACTGGAATGGATTCACCTCACATTTCTGCCTCATCACACCAGATGCACTTCAAAATTCAATTTAGGCTCTCCACTTCGATCATCTTGGGGACAGTCACCCGGAGCCAGGCCATCTGCCAAGTGTAAGCATCAGGGAGCAAGCTGGCAAACACCTCCATCAGTCAGATAAAGCACAGACTTTTCTCCTTCATTATTTGCCTAAGCTTAGAGAAGTAGAAATGCAGCATCCACTGCCTAGCAACCAAAAGCTCAGTTACAAGCATATCCATATAACAGTCGTAGAGTGTGGTGTGACCACAAAATTGGGGGATCTCCTAGGAGACAGATGCTGAGAGATACAATTTGTTCAATGGTAACCTCCCTTCCTTTCCCTCCTTTCCCCCAGAGCAGCCAGTTTTCACCCAAAGGATGACAATCCCGCGTTTGTCCTAGGCATCAGAAGATGGAAACAGACCTATGATACTATAGAAAAAAGGTAAAAGTGGAACAGTATTCACCAGAGCCCACAGTAGCAGACAATTAGTTTAAAATGGGTAAAACCACATCCTTCTTTATGCAAAGGTGAGTGAAATGCTGTAATTTATTGCCACAGGAGGGTGTGAAGGCAGACAGCATCAGTAGATTCAAAAGGGGATTAGACAAATTCCTGGATAGCAGGCCCATAAGCAGACACCAAAGGGAACAAGCAGGGATACTCTGACATATATACTCAGTATATATATGTCAGTGTATATACTCAGTATATACTCTGACATCCATAATCCTGTTTCTGTGGCTTCTGGGGCAGTACAAGGGACCAAGCCCAGAGTGGGATCAGCCTCCTGCACTTACCACGGGGATCTGCCAGACCCATACTTCTGGGGGGGAGGCTGGCCTGACCCCATCAGGTATTTCATACCTTCCCATGGGGATGCCGCAGCTCTCTCTCCAGGGCCACAGAGGAGGAAGGTGTGTGCAATGCCCAGTGAACACGGGCCCAAAGCAAGGGCTGCCTGAGGATAGGGCCATGAGATGCAGAGACGCAGGCTTGGGGTTGAAACAGGGCTTTAAGCTGATGGGGAAAAAGAGGGAAGGGAGAAGGAGGGAGGGAGGAGGAATCAGACACCCCGGAGGAAAGGACGCATGAGAGCACAGCGGGGACAGCCAGGTGAGATGTGTAGGACATGCAATCAGCATGGTGTCAATAGAAGGAGAGAGTGGGCCAGCTCTGGCTAGGAGCTGAAGGAGAGGACAGGCACTGGCAGGGCATACAGGAACCAGGAGACAACAAAGGAAAGGGATAATAGGGGAAAAGAGGCTGCCTGCAGGGTCTGTGCAGAGGGACTGGGATAGTGACCCAGTAATGGGGGCAGTGGAGACCAGAGTCAGGGAGCAATAGGTCAGAGAGCTGAAAGAGAGGGCATGAGGCAGGCTGTGCAGAGAAACTGGGATTGAAGGGACCCAGGGGTGAGGGGCTGGGATCGAGGAGGGACAACGCCAGCAGAGGGACACATCGTTGGAGGAAGAGGAGAACAAGTCAGGTTTGGGAGGAGCAGGACAGATAAAGCACATCTTGCCTCCAAAAGCCAGAGAAGGTCCTGAGCCTTGCTCTTCTTGCCCTATCAACAAATACTTACCACCCCTGGCAATGCCTACATCCTGTTGCTCTCTGGTCATGGCCTTAGCAGGGGAGAGAACTGTGCTGCTGTTCCCAGCTGCTGTTCCCAGCTGCTCCATTTAGACCTAGCATGCAAAGATCTGCACATAGGATTTGAAAGGTCCTGGCTCTGCTGAGGAGCTTCCTGGGCACCCAAAAAGAACACTTTTTTACTTTACAGTTGGTTTTCTGAAAACCTTAGAAAGTTTTACACACAAAACATACTCCCATTGAAGAGTGGTCTTAACTTTGCAAATCAACTACTGTCAAATTAGAGAATTCCAGGATTAAAGTTGTCTGGACCTTCTTATTTCAATCTTTTTGTATATATGTACCAGTCAGTACCAGCATTCATCACACACACGCACTCTTGTTCCCTAGCTGGGGATCAGACAGGGATAGATGGTTCATAAGTAAATAAGGAAGGAGCCTCTTGCCTGTAGCTCTCCCGTCTCATCTTACGCAGTAATATGGAAGGTGGCTGGCAAATGAGCCAACAAGAGAAACAACCATGCCACTGATTCAGGCAATGGAAAACTAGCCTGGACAACTGGACCCTGTCCCTGCCTAAAAGAATTCCTGCAAGATGCTGACAGTGTCTCTTACAACAAACTTGTAACAACCTTTCAGATATGTGGGTTTTGCAGGCTCTGGGAACCTGACCTGCAGCCCTGGGATCTGCTTAGCAAATGTAGGATTACTCACAGTCACCATCGAAGACACTAGGCTCTACACTCCAAACATGTATAGTTGTTAAAGACAGCACTAAGTGCCCTGAAGAAAGATCATACCCTAGATGTCTCAAAGTGGGCATACAAAATTGTTTGATCTGAATCTCTCTGCAGCTCAGTTCCTCACCTGTAAGACAGAGAATCTCCTTCCCTTCACACAGGCTTCATGAAGATAAACGACTATTTGTGAATCACCCCAGGATTTACCTCAAGAGGTGATAAATAATTCTCTGTTCAGAGAGAAGCTTAACAGAGCACTCAACCACAGAGCGAACATGGAGGATGTGATGCACTGCTGGGAAGCTCAATAGAAAGGCTTCCATCATCTCTGAGCCCAATATGGGAACATGGTCCTCAGGGCAAGGCAGTGGAGGAACAGGTAATAGAAAAAATAATGCAGGCATAGGCACAAAGAGGGTGAACAAAATTTGCATTTATTTAATTCTAACTTTAGAAGCATTTCCTAACTTTTAGATACTTGGCTTTGCAATCGTAATTTTAAAAAGTTAAAGTACTTTTTCTGTGTGTCTGTGTGTGATTAAAACCATCCTAATGGATCAACAGGCAACTAATGGGAAATACTAGAGTAACTTGACAAATGATATAGATATTTTTGCCCCAGTAGTAAAGAAATAAGAAAATCAGGGCTTGTCATATCCCATGAAGGGGTAAATGATTCCTTCCAAGAAGAGAAGGTGGGAAAGTGGCCAGAAACAGGTTACTGTGAAGAGTCACGCTGACCTTTCAGCTCCTAGTAGGATGGAAAGAATGCCAGCATGCATAATAGCAAGAAGAAAATAACAGTAGCTTAACAGCACACCGTGCAGTAATTTCAGCAGTTCCAGTTTCCTCTTTTCATCATTTATTTAAGACTGTGTCTAGACAGTGCATTACCATTCACAGAATTTATGACTAGTGCCCTGAAAAGCAAAGATACCGGAATAATCTAAACAGAGAAATCACCTAGAAAGCGTACAAGTCCTTAATGGTTTAAATTATTCCCAAATTAAGTCTGACAGGAAAGGAGTCAGGATGATCACAGTATTTCATGGATAAACGCACCCAGAGTGCATATCAAAAATGTGGCAAATTGAATTCGAAATTCCACAGCTAAGCTTTGCTGGAGATTTCCAGACTTTTTAGTATTGGATGAAATAAACTCATTGACACCTCTCAAGCCTCAGCATTTGCTAGAGATGCTTCTAAAATACATATAATTATGCTACCAAAAAACATTTTTCTAATGTGCATCCAAGCATGGAGTTTCTCATTCAAATAGAGAACCATAACTAGCTAATCATTCTTCAACATTTGGCTGCCACTGATATTCTTTTGTGCTACAGAATTTAAAAAGCAATTTTCTCCAACTGCTTCTCAGCCTTGCCATTTGATTAATTTATTTATAGTACAAATGTGCACACATGCACGTATATTAAAAAGATCTTACTGAAGCAAGTATTGAACATGAGTTAGAACCCCTGGAGATTTTCACCAATCTGGAACTGCTGCTTGAAAAATATGTATTATCAATAGTCGGTCTTTTGCCGGCCTGACAAGGCTGCCTGGAAATTCTGTAACCTGCAGGTCAAATTTTGCCCTGGTGGACATTCAGCAACAGCCACAGAAACAAAACAATAGCAGGAAATAATAAATGAGAGATGATGTGTGCCTAATTATGCTTTTATTCTTTTTCCCCTAGTAAATCATTTTTAAAACAAATAAAATACAATAACCACTTCTGTGTTTCAGTCTTCCTGATAAAAGCTTTTTCCTCCTAAAACAATATTCTGTTAGCAATTACTGAGAACACAGCTTGCAAAAATTGTTTGGAGGTTCATTTTGTAATGCATTGAAGCAGCTTCAGAGTCAGATGAACACATTCTTCTTGACAGATCACACGATAAGACATATGGTTCATACCCACTCATGTCACGTTATGTGATCTGATGCAGTGGCCGCTTCAGGGACATTCCCATAGAATTGAGTCACTCGAGGCATATGACCCAAAGACAGGGCCAGAGCTGCAATAGGATATTTCCTTTTTGATCTTTTGTTACATTGTTGATACCATGTAAATTCCTAGGACCATAACTTGAAAAGGGAAAATGGAGAAAATGCAATGTCATACAGAAAATATGAGACAAAATTATGTCCTACAGAATTTTTCTGGATGCTGGAATCATCCAGTGCTTACCCAGCTAACGCAGGATGCCTGTTCAGCTTAAGCATGTGGCTTTGTCCATAAAAGAAAGTTGCATGCGTATAACGTGAATCATCTTCCCAAACAAATACAGACAATCCAGCTCAAAATGCTACCTGAACAATCTTTTTCAAGCATGATTTTTACTTGATTACAGATGTTCTTAAAGGACTTAGCAAAATAAATTTCTCTTTTGCCAAAAGGGACTCACGCAAACCTTTCACACCATTTTACTTCTACTGGAAAAATGTTGGCTTACAACAATGCACCTTATCTGGTAAACCAATAGCAAGAGGGACTTTGTCATAGGAACCCACTGGAGAGATTCTTGGAGGATTTCAGCCATTTTCCCCAAGAAATCACTTCTACCTGTGACTCTCAGGAATTGTGCTAAAAAGTCGGAATCGATTGTTGGCAATGGATAGCCCTGAAGGGGTAGGGGGAAAATGTTCCAGCTTGAGTCAAAAATAACCTTTTCCTGAGTAAGGAGTCTTGTCAAAAGTGCAAAAGTTAGATCAGATCTGCTAAAGGGTTCACCAGTTTCTAGCCCTCCATGTAAACATGGCTCTGGGTAACCAAGGAAGCCCTGAGAAAAGAGGCCCTGATATAATTTTGGTAGGAAAGTGTATGGTACCAATTTGCCCAAAGGCCATGAGTTGTTTGAATTCAACATCCAAACTAGGTGAGCACTCCAGAAGCTGACCCTGCTCCAACTCAAGCTCTTATTGTAAATGTAACCTCATCCAGAGTAGACACAGCACCAGGCAAGGCTATGTGAGTTACTCTGCTTGGCCAAACATATCGGACTGAATTAGGACAAGTAATGAGCCCTCTATATGGGAAACAAGTAAATGTCTTCTTCATGCTCACCTAGAACTTTAATGCTCTGGTGAATTTGTGAGAAAGGCTGACAAACAGGCAGAGTCCTACGAATCAGGAACATTAGTCTTTCATGTCTACACCTTAACATTTTGGACCAAGTTTACTGTAGTTTTTTTACAGATTCACTGATTTCACCTATTGTCCAGAATTGAATTAAACTTTTCTCAGTTTAAGTGAATCACCTTCCAGTAGAAGCACTTATTTCAACTATTAATCCGACTAAAACTTACCTAAAGAGCAGTAGAGTCCAACTTGTTCATATCCTTCACAGCAATCTGTAAGATTCATGGTCTCAGGGACTTCAACCGTGTGATACTGTGTTTTATAGTACGTCTGGGGACAAATCATCCATGGAATCCATCCTCCACAGGAAGTGTTTTTCTCATAGGACTTTTGATAGGCAACCATTTTAAACACATTTCTAGTCAGGCTATAGTTGCACAGATGGTAGCCTAGCAAAGAGAGGCCTTTTTCTAGGGGGAAGAAAGCAGAAAAGAACGTGATCAGCTCTAACTCTTCATCCCACAACATAAGGTCCCTGCAGTGTCTAGTTAAAAAAACTATTATGAGATAGCAGCCACAGAACTAATACAAATGAATGATTTCAAGGAAAGCTGATGTTAAGGAAGAATGTCACTTCAGAAAATGGACAGGGGAAAAAATTATTAGTGACTGCTCATCATACGCATGATTTCAGTCATAAAAAGATGAATGCTGGCAGAAAATTCAAATAGCTCTCAGTGCCTTCAGGTATGAAGCATAAAAAGGGCAATTTAACCCAAATAAGTGTAAAGGAAATTAATAGATATGCTCCAAACTTCAGATACGTGCTCATGGACAACGAGCTTCTAGAGTTATCTGAGGAAAGGTGCTCAGAAACACAGAAAACACAAAAATTGGGAAAAAAATAACCATACTATATTTTTAGCTAGGGACAATAGAAGTAGAGTTTGTATCCACTACTTCAGCTGTCCACCACATAGTCATCTGTATTTAAGTTCAGCAGCCTAAACCGTCTCTATAAAGAGTGGAGAGGAATAGTCACTTCTAAGTCATCCAAGTATTTCAGATGCCCACCCCAGGCGCAGGCCGTCAAAGTGCCTGTCTTTCTCCACTGGCCATAAACGGAACGAAGGATGAGCAACTGGAAGGTAGGTGAGCCACAGCAGATGTCTGGAATAAGACATTCTTCAGACATTACTGTAGGCTAAAACTGGGTAGTCAGACATCACTGGGGAGCACTTTCAGGTGTCTGACATAAAAGGTATTCCTGGCGCTTCTCTGCTGCCTGTCTACATTTGTAATAGACAATGTTATACCAGGTCCTCTGAGAGCTGCTACGGTTCATTGACTTCAGTTTAAATGGAATCAGTGGTAAGCTCATTAACTACATAATTTTACACAGGTCTGAGAATGCGACTCAACTTCTAAACTCTGAAATCAGCAGTGCTGAGGGTAGACTTAGCAGAGAGCAAATTAGTTTTAAATAAAGCATGTAACAGAACTGAAAGCACTTGAGCAGGAGCAGTTAAACAAACAAACAAGCAAACAAACAAAAGATGGAGTAAAAGAGTGAGCAGTGAGCAACCTACAAGCATGCCACTGACAACAGTTTATCTCCTGAGGAGATGTTATACAAGCCAGAGGGGCTGAGTCGCCCTGTGTCCCACTGGGGAAAGGGATGGGATAGAATAAAAAAGGTCTATACTATCCTTTAGACGAAGCAAAAGGAACTTTAATAAGGATAAATGTGAAGCAGCTGCAGGGATTCAGCTAAGGCAGGACTGCTATTTTCGAGAGGTCTTAGGAGACTAGAGCCGGTCAACAGACATATTGAAGCTAATGCAGTATATACAACAAACACACAATTAAAATATTTACAGCTTAAGGAATCAGAGAAGATGAAATATGTACAAAACAATTTTAAAAAATCAGGTGCTTAGGAATCAAGTGCTTTCATTTGCTGTTAAATACAAGATACATGCAGAATTCGAACAGGGCTGATATAAAGAGCTTTGAACAGGAAAATCCATTTTGTAGCACAAGGACAGATACCATAGGCCACAACAGGGTCCTGAAGCTGGCTTAACTGAGTGACCTAAGAGGTCTTCCTCCAGCCTTAATCTTAGCAACTGTTTGAATAAGAACAGCCTGAAAGACATCCCCTGCCTTAGAAGTTCAAAAGGCCATGAAGAAAAATAGATTTGGATCAGAAAGCAATGGGTGCAACATGGCAAGCACTTGTGGGCTTCAGCCTTTCCCCATTATCCATTAGCATCCCCCCAATTTCCTAGGTAAAGGGATGCTAATGCCTCACATTTCCACCAGCCCCAGACCACATGCTCCTGCAGCCCCACAGCTCTGCACACCCTGCCCTTCTTTATTTCCACCCGGACACCGGCTCAGGTCCCACAGGCACTGCTGAGCCATCCTGAGGCCACAGGGCCCCACGTAGAGTGGGGTGTGGATGAGGTGCCTCTTCCCCCTGGGGTGACGATGACAGTGGTCCACAGTGCACCTTGCTCTGGCTGCAGGCGGTTGTGCTGAGCACCCTCTGTCCTGGAGCAAACGGCAGCGTTAGAGGTCAGAGGGCTGTCAGGGCCCCCAGGGCCCCTCCCCAGGGCCTTTCTTGCTGTCCCTGTCCCCCACCCCAGGCCTCCTCCTACCCAGCCCTGGCCCCATTTCAGCCCAGCCTGGGCCATCCATCTCAATGTGGCAGCAGTGCCAGCTCTAGCCCCACCATGGTCCTGTCCCTGCCCAGCCCGGCCACAGACCCCCAACCTTGACCACGGGCAACCACCCGGCCTAGACTCAGCCTGGCCCCACAGAGGTGCCTGGTGATCAATCACTGGTGCCACTCCTGGCCCTGACCTGCAGGTTGACTTCCCGGATTGGTCTCAGCCCTGCCTGGTCACTGCAAACTTGCTTGGTGATCTCACCTCCTGGGTGAGCCTGTCCACAATCTCCAGCCTGCCCAGCTCCCTCACTGGGGTACTCCAAGACAGGCCCCAGCTGGTGGGGCCCCAGCCATCCCAGTCATGGTGTCCCCTCAGCTTCTGGTTCCCCAGCCCTTAGGGATCAGTCAGCCTCACAGCAGCCAGCCAGGAGCACTACAGAGAGCACGGGGAGAGCTAGAGTCCTCCCAGCAGGGTCCAAGAAGCCATGTGCAGCTGCTGAGAAAGGGTCAGCAGGAGAATATCAGGAATAAGGGCATATCCTGAAATCCCACCGCCTGCTTTTTCCTCCTCCCCAGCCTCAAGAAGGGCACCTCTGCGTCTGGTCCCTGAGGCTAGTTCCGGAGATAGCAGCTTAAAGGCTTTTCTGTCATTAAAAAGCACCGTGGTTGTGTTTTTTTCCTTAAGAACAGAGTCAAGGGGGATGGGTGTGAGCAGCAAGAAGCGGGGACGTGGCATTTTTTAAGCTGAGGGCCTCAAACCTGTACCTTGCCTGACGCAGGAGAGAAAGCTGGTGGCCAGGATGAAGGGTTAAAGGGATCACAAAACCCTGTACCCACTGTGGGATATAAGTGAGCCAGAGAAAGTAAGGCTGGCCTCTCCACACCTGGTGCTGAGGGTATCCCTCTGGGAGAGGGACAAGAGAATAACTCTAGGTTCTAGATTAGAAATGAGAGATCAAAGGCTATTTTTATCCAATGCATTTGATTGACTACCGTTTCACCTAAAATGCAAGGCAGTGCCTTAGAAGAAACAGGTAGCTGCCCTTGCATTTTGTAAAGCATTTCCATGACACTTGTTAGGAGTGCTCTGAGAAGATCTAGCCCAGCAAATGCTTCTAGACATGTAGGCATGGAAAACCAAACAAAAAAAAATTGTTTCTGGACTCTGATCAGGCTTATGTATGTGAGACAGATACAGTAATGCTTGACCCTATCCAGACTAGGCCAGCCCTGGAAGTGCGCACAAAAAGCATATTGGGGTCCTTCCAAATTTGGATTGCTTCCAAAGAGTAAGATAATAGTGGAAGACAGGTGCTTCCAGAGTTAAAGCTGTGGCTGGAAGGGAAAGGGTTGAGAGGCTGGGCCACAGTTTTGGATCTGAATGGCTAAATACCCAAAGTGGAATGGAAACAATATCCAAAACATTTGGGATTTAGCGTTTTTTTGAAGAATGTACACAAATACCTGTTAGTGATCAAGGAAAGTGGGAGAAGTAGGACAACTTTTGTTCTACGGAAATAAAAAAGAAAAAGTATAGTATTAAGGGATTACAGTGTTAAAGTATAAAATCATGTCACAATGGAGTAGGGCTCTAAGAAAGAATTGCTGTAGCCTGACTGCTTGTCAGTGTTATTCCTCCATTTCTCCAGAGCTCATATCATAGCACAGTTAAAGCAATGCAGGAATTCGAAGAGAGCAACTGAGTAAGCAGAATGTCACAGACATGTGCCTCAATGCAGAGTTGAGGCTACAGCAAGGACATTGCACTAGAAAGGTAAAAATTCCACAGTCAGCTGAAGTGGCTGAGGCTTTACAGCAATGTGCAATGCAAATACAGGTATGAAACAGAGAGTAAAATGGTATAGAATTAGACACTGCTTATAATTAGAAACTACAGCTGTCAGAGCAGATATGAAATCATATCTGCAGATATGAAATCATATTTCATACTTAAACAATGATATTAGGTATAGAATGAAGCTGCCAAAGCCAAAAGAGTAAATCTGATATAGCGCTATGGTGGTACAAAGATACCTTTCTCTAAAAGCGACAAGATAAAGGGTGACAGGATAAGGTGCAGCACCACTACCAACTTTACTATCACTCATCATGCCCATCTAGTCTAAAGGGAGCTTTGACACTCAGTTATTTACTGACAGCAGTTTCCTCCTGGGCAACATTGCTTAGATCAGTTTGGGCTCTTTAGCAAATTGGCTTTCAGTTCTTATTACCCCCACCCGTGGGATTACAGCGCTATCAAACCGAATTAAACTACACTGGCTGTTTTTCCATCAACACACAGCCAAAGTCAATAGCAAAGTAGAGGGTAGCCACCTGACATTAGTAGTGCTATGTTAAGCCTTAGGCCCATCATCTCTGAACTTTACGTTTATATGTTAGGAACCACCAGCTTTCAGCACTGGCAGGAAAAATGCAAATTTTATTATGCTAAGCAACAGCAAAACCAATTAAAGCAAACACTTTATTAATAGAAGCAACTGTTCAGAGCAGAGGCTGAAAGGAAAGCCTCCTAAAGCACTCTTCTTAGAATTCAAGGCCAAACCCAAATCAGGCCTGGTATCTGAGAGCACAGTCAAAAAATCACCAATAATAAAAGCTTGGAAGCTATGCCACAGATTCAGTGGCTGTTCTGAAAATCTCATAAGAGCTGCTCAAGTGCCAGAAATGCCACCATGAGTTTGAATCTGCAAAAGCTTTTCTCAGAGAAGCACAGCAAGAGCCAAAGACAAGGCTCTGTCTTGCCTTGATGTAATCTCCAGGGTAACCTGTAACAGTTTACTTTTCTAACCTCAAAAGCAACAGGCTCACACAGGGAAGGTTCAAACTCAGCTTTAAAATGCAAAGGCTTCAAAACCTGAAGAAATATGGATTATGGACTTGTTTTTCTGGGCTTTCCAAACTCTTTTTAAAGACAACATAATTGGCTTCAAATGTCAGCAGAATGGGGGTTCTGCTGACCTCCATTCTACAGCAACACCTTTTTTTAAATGTGAATTTGACAGAATAACTGAGAAAAATCTGCAAGGCTTTAAAAATATGCCTCATATTTTAACTGAGACTTGCAAAACGATTAATTAAAAAGATGGAACAAAAACAGCCCAAAAATCACAATTTTTTCCCAGCTAAATAAATTAAACAAGGAATTAAGAACAAGTTAGGATTTAATTTAGCAATTACAATTTAGTAATTTGGTTAGATTTTTCCCAGTTACAACCCCATACCGTAAAACAAGTTAAAACACGTCATCCACAACCTCATTTCATCCATCTCTAGGAATTTTCCAGGTATATTACTACATCATTTCCTTCAAAAGTTAAAAAATTTTAAGGTTTAAAGAGCTTTTCCATAAAAATCTGGACATTACTGAACATAAAGCTGCGATTCTACTCATTCAGTTCTGGCAAAAAGGAAATGACAAGGCTTTTGCCTGGGGACTAAGAGATGGGGGCAAATATTGTGTTTTGGCTTGATTAGATTTGTGTTTGTTTGTTTAATTATCAGTAGAGGATTCTTAAATAGTTGTTGAGACATTGCTAGTTTGACAGAGAGAGGCCACCACACGTATTTTATTTCCAATAAAGAGATATCCCACATCCAAATTAAGCTATCCTACATAAAAGCCAGGGTTCTCTGACTGGGTTTCCATCACTCACCTGTAATTTCATTTCCCCTTCCCTGCTGTGTGGCTGCACAGAGGACGAGAACAGAAATAACTGTGATCCTGGCCATTGTATCAGGCATGCTGGATAACAGCCCTTCTTCTTGCTTCGTTTCTAATGCAGTAGAGCTCAATTGTCTTTACTCTGGGCTTCTGGAATAGGGAAAAAGCTGCTCTGTTTTTGCCTTTTGCAGATGGGTGATAACAACCAGCAACAAAAACAGAGGCTCCAGTGAGAATATTGCTGGTGCAGTTTCCTTTGTGCCCTCCCCGAGGAACCCGCCTTTTCTACCTGCTTCCCTTGGCCCACCCTCAACCACTGTGAGAAAAACACATTTCAAAATTGCTGGTTTAGTCCATGTTTATCCTTCAGAGCACTTACTCCCTTACCCGACAGCCAGGAGCCAGATTAGTATATACTTCAGTTGTCAGGTGTATATATATATATGTTGAATTTTTTTTCTGTCCACATATCAGGTGATATTATATTCAGGTCCTGAAGGTTAATTCTGTACCTCGAAAACAAACTAAGAGTAAAAGCAAGTAGATTATCTGTAAATGATTTTTCCTGAATTTGAGCTGTTTCACTATCTGCTCTCACTGTGCTCCTCATTTCATTGCAATTTTGGCATAACACAAATGAGAGCAATGCTAGGCAAATAAGAATGCTTATTATAAGAATGCATGTACCAGTACATTTAAAAAATCAAGGTCTCTTTCTCTTCCTCATGTAAGTTAGGAAGGCAGATTCCTAAGAGAAACATACTTGTGGCTTTACAATGCAGGACAGTTACTCCAGTGCAGTATCGCTTGACTTATACAAAGAAAAGGAGTAAACACAATATGATATTTTTATGATTTTTATAATAGTTCACACTGATGTATGGAAAATCACAGAGCTCTCAGAGCTGACATAACACATTCAGAGCAGTACTAAAGACATATAACAGTATCGCAAACAAATTCATGGGCATGAAAGACCTAGATGAAAGGGAGTCAGAACTGCAAATTCCCTCATTCATGTATTTTCAGAATATCAGTCATATCATTTCTGTAAAACCTTGGCAGGCAGTTACCTTATCAGCACTCACAAGCTAAGAGAGCCAGGCCCTCGGAGAACTTGCAAGGCCTACAGGGAGTCGGTGCACGGCTCAGATCATCTGAGTGAGGGCAGAGCCAGAACTCCAAGTAGTGTTGAGGTGCTTATGAGCTGTTCTTCTGGTTTGGAAGATAAAACATAAGGCTCATCAGAAGAAAAAAAAAAAAAAAAGATTTGCCCAAACGTCCATTGAAAAATATTTTTGGTGAAACTGGGTATAGGAGAAAATTTCAACTGAAAAAAACAAAATATTCTAGTTTGGAAACACTGCTGCTATGCCTCAGCAGATTGTGTACCTCAGCCGCCCTTTTCCTGCATGTACCACGATGGCTAGTCAGGCTGCATCCCACAGCTTCATCATTTACGTCTCCTATTAGCACAAGAAAGCACTGTGAGAGGCCCTGGTCACAGGCTTTACAGAAGATGCAATCTGATTGGAAAATCTAACCTATAAAAAGAAGAGAACTTGAGTCAGTGAATCACGGTTTGCAGATATAAATATTTCTCTTCATGGCCTTTTATCATTTTTCAATGAACAATCCAAATTTTCTGAAAAAAAAAAATGACTGAAAATTTTCAGCTAGCACTAATAAAAATGACCTCTAGTCCTTAGAAATTACTCAGAACCTTCTGCAAGAATAATGTGTCCTGGCCAATTTCAAATATGGGTATTTCCAGACTGGCATCTGAATTGGATTGCATTTGGGGTCTCTCACTTACTAGTCTAAATAGCTGAATGGGGTTGCCTTATGTCTTAAACAGCTGCTGCTTTCCAGAGTTGGCTACAAAACAAATGTCACCATCTTCATCACTGAGAGCTTCTATAACCAAAGTACCTCGTTTAACCAAAGTACCTCGTTCTATAACCAAAGTACCTCCATACCTCGTTTTGAAAGTCTAACACTCTAAAAGACTTGAGGACATACTCAGCTTTATGACTGTTAAAGAACATGGATAAAACTTTGCATGTCCACAGCTCAGTCTTATGGCTGGCAATTGTAGCAAGCTTATAGTCTGGGTAAGGCAAATAACAGCAAGTTAAACCTGTGTTGCAATAGTGGGTGAAGTGGATCCTGTACATGTATGCAGAAACCCCTATTCAAACAAAACTCTAAGTCAGTAAGGGTTTAATCTAAGTAAGAAACTGATACAAAAGGTGAGTGTATTTCAGGATTTATCCTATAATTTGCCAGTTATGTGGGGTTCTGATTCATATCATTTTTTCGATGTTATAATCATTTAGGTGCACAGCAGCTTAGATTTTCAACAACACAGATATCTGAAGACATCATTCAGAGAGACAATTAAGCATGTATCCTGCGCCTGTATAATCATTTTCAAATCTTTCAGATATAGTCTTGCACTGCAGTAAGTTTAAGATGATGCCCTGCATCCCAGGCAGCAGCGCATGCTCTTTATATTACTGCAGTTGCTGTAACGAGTTGTGCTTACTAGACACAGCTCAGTACAGAGTCTCCTGCAGGGAAGCTAGACAGATTTATCAATCATTTTGGAAAACTATCTGCCTTGATATGCATGGTTAATTACATATAATTATATTTTTAGTAATCATTGGTGTATTTCAAGGACAGACTTTTGATCTTTTTTGACCTTGTTCCTTTCAGCTAGGTATTATGTTAGGTGCCCCATGGAAAAGTTGCACGCTTCACCTTGGTGGTGGGGAAAGACAACAGAGAGGAATGGAAAAGGAGATGCTTAGCAGAATAAAAGCCCTGGCTACATGGTGCCAACAGTGCATTGGAACGCGCTCTGGAAAGAGCTCATCACAATCCTCCTGGCCCAGTCATCTGGAACTGATCAATTCTCCTGCCTCTTTTGTTTATATTTTCTGCAATTACACTTGCAATGTTCGAATTGATCTAAAGCGATGCAATTTATACAAAGAAGGGCTGTGCCAATTAAAGCCATGTCAAAATTCATTAAGGGTGACTTTGCAGTTGAGGGAGCAGATTTTTTGAGGTGGGACACATAGGAATTGACCCTACTAGATTATAATATCAGTAATTGGAATATTGTGGCTGAGAGCAGGCTTTGCCATCATACATTTTATGCATTTATTTCTTTAGACAAAAGCATTTTTGATTTAATTAGTCACTCAGGAGATCCTCTTTTTAGGCTTGGAGTTTGACTCAGCAAGGTCAGTTGCTGCAATACTCCATTTTGCTTTGTATTATTTTGTCTATCAATCAGTAATTGCTATTTCAAACACCCAAAATGGTCATTATTTTTCAAGACAGACCAGTTTGCATGCAGAGAGCAGAGCTATGCATCTGCCCTCCATGGGAATCTAGTAAAAGCTGCTCTGTGCTCCAGAAGCCACCACATCTTTCTTACATTGATGTAAGAAACCTAAGGCCTGGGAACTACTAAATCATTTAATCTAACCTCTCAATAACACCTGTCAATAAGTTTCTACTAGATCTCCTTCCAGATCTCCACCATTTTAATCTGGTTTCAGCCTTTTAGTCTGAGAAAGACTAGATTACTGGCACAGCCGCCAGGGGGAATAGATTGAGGCGCCACCAGTGCTGAGGATCTCACAGGGGAAATAAACTCATCTGGTCAGGAATGCACAGGTGAAACCATACCGCTTGCTGCTGATGAAGGTGACAAGAAGTTCCTCAAATGAGACAACAAATGAGGCCTGATTTCTACCTGATTTCTGCCCTGTGATAGCATTCTCTGTTGTCCATGTCCCCCACATGAAACTTGTCTCACAGTTCTGGCAGTCTTAAAAACTGCCCCCGCTGTGACACTTCTGATGTCTAGCAAAGGTCAAGCTCAAACTATAGTCTTCCCCTCAGTGGAGGCATTGCTAAAGTTTCTTTTTTTCTTCTCCGCTCCTGACCTTTATGAAGCCTACAGGAACTTAATTGCTTTTGAGACTGTAGATGATCTGTCAAACGTGGCTTAAATTGGTCAGCAAGGCCAAACAGCAATAGAACAGAGGAACAGGCTGACTTAGCCAGAAGTAACTTTTGCACAGGTATAGACAAAAGAAATCACTCCTGTCATTAAGATAAAAACTTGTTCCAGCTTCTGAAAATCAATATGTATATAATGGACATCTTTATGTCTGTTCCCTACAGAGGACTGAACTTTCCAGAAACCTTAAATATTCACCCCTCAGAGTTAAAACACTAGTCTGGGATTTCAGAGACCTGAATGCCCTACCTCAGCCACAGACCTCTTGTGAAACCATGAGCAAGTCACAGCAGTCAAATTTGCCAGTGCAATGAAGCCACAGGGGGAGGCAGAAAGCTCAAAATTTCAGACCTTGTGAAAGCCACGGTTACAATGCTGAAAGTCCACTTTTGCTTATGTTATCTGGGAAAAACAGCAGTAGGAAAAGCACTATTTTGCAAGTCCATGCTATGCTTATGTAAGGATGGGCAACAGCTAAATTGGCAACTTTCTTGAAGGGGCTGTTGTTTCTGTAAGCCTCAGATCCATATCCAGAAAGTGGAATAGTAGTAACCTTTGCTAATTTCACTGATGTCTTTTAGAGAAAAATGGGTTAAAGATTAAGGAACATTCACATATTACAGTAAAAAATGCTCATGCAAAAGCCCTAAGAGTTAATTAGCTCAACTGCTGTCTTGCAAACAGAACAGACCCTGACTGTATCCAGTGATTTGCTCTGTCTTACCGGTAAACTGTTCCTTAGGAAAATCTTTGGGTTGTGCTTTGTTTCTCCCTGAATATGCACAAATTGTCTTAAAGTGACTCATGAGGAAAAAGTTCTTATTGGTAACAGCAGGAAAAAATATGAGTCAGGCGGAGGTCATGCTGAACTTCTTTCTGCCTGGCATTGCTCCCCTGTCTGAGCACTAATTGTGCAATCTGAAGACAGAGAAGCTCTTATTTTCTCAGTCCTTTGATAGCATGATCCTATCCCCAATACAGAGTTTGGCATGAGATGAGACTGTTTATCACACCTCATACAGGATTTGGCAGTGCTGCAGGGAAGAAAGTCCCACCTAAGACATTCTCGTACTGTGCTTTTTGTTTATAACTCTAAAAACAGGCATTTTCAAAAGAAAATAGTCTGGGCGATGGGTATTCCCCTTTGCTATGAAGGCATACTTGGAAGAAAAGTCAGAGTTTCTCCTGCTCTGCATCCCCTCATGTGGTACCAGGGCTAAACCTACCTAGAACTCGCACTCAGCACAGAGGATTGTGTCTGCCCTGTGTCAGCACTCGGTGACCCGATGGGAGCCCTCCTTGCTCTGCCTCCTGCGCACGCCGGCCCTGCCAACATGCAGTTGGCTCAGCTCGCCGGCTAGGCTGTCCGTTCCCCGCAGTGAAGCACTGGGATCACGGCACCAACACCGATCTCACATGTCCTTGCTGACCATGGGGGCAACGACAATGTCTTGCAAACAATAGCGGCCAGCCTGCAGATGTGGCCAGACTTGTCGGTTTGTGCAAATGCTGCTGCCCGTATCTCTCTTCTGACTGAAACTTCTTCCCAGTTCTTATCCCTCCCAAACCAGTCCAACATGCAGCCACGGTACGGATGGGAAGGGCAGAGGATTGTGCATTCAACTGGCCATTCTTCCCCTTTAATCGCTTTCTTACACACACAAAACCTGCTTTTTTAAGCAGATTTTAGAAGTACAGAATGAAACAGCCAAAATATACAACCCATTTTTCACTATTAGTCAACATAAGATTTGGCCCTTACTTCCAATCAAAAGACACACAAAAAACCAAATGCATTTTTTCTAATAAGAGGATTCTCTAAATTTTTGCAGAAACTAAGCCATAGTCCTCAATTTGTGCAAGATCTCTTATTGCTGCATTAGACTTAGATACGTATAAACACGTTTGAGGGATCTACAGGCAAATTGTTGTCTGCATGCTCCTGAGCCAGTTCAATTAAGAGCAAAGAGGCTCGTGAAGGAAGAAGAGTTTTAAATCAGAAACACTGGACTAAGGGAACCTATTATATAAAGACAGGGCAAATTATGGCACTCTCACCCCACTCCTAGTGCATGAATAATGGGTGAGGACTTCAGGAAAGATTTTTAAAAAAATAGCACATTTTTACCTGGTCAAAAAGTCCAAAGACTGGAATAGATTCATTTAGAAGAAGGAATGCAGTAGGTTGTTTTGGGAAAGGGTGTTTTTTTCTTTTTTTCTGTTAAGTCTTGTAATTGTGATCATCCCTGACAAACACTGGGTTACTAAGTGTAAAGGAGGTAGGGAAGATGGGCTTTTTAAACTAAGCAAATAAAAAGGAGGTAGGGAGGATGGGCTTTTTAAACCAAGCAAATAACAGATCATTAAAAACAGTATGCAATAGAAGCTTGGGGTAGAGGGAAGCTTGGGTCGCAAAAAAAAAAAAAAGAATAAGAAATTTAATCTTTGTGCCAAAAAATAATGACTGGACAAGTTTGAACCCAAACCGGTG